AAAAAAAAAAAGGTCAACAGGTGTAGCAGTCCAACCGACTCGTGGACTGTCCGGACGGTAGCACTGTCATTTAGACGCCTATGCACTGATCGAAAATAAACATACATGCATACACTGTAATTTACTATGTGGAGAACACTCATTTTATCTGTAAAGTTGATTGCAACGAATTGTGCAACAAATGAACTTGCCAAGACAGACTATAAAAAATTAATTTTCTATGTAATATTCTTAATTGCAAAGAAGCCAAATCTGGCAATGTTGCTCAGAACTGACTAAAGCGCCACTTGTAATTGTCCAATGCGCCAAGTTTGGCGCATGCGCCACGGTTTGGCCACCCCTGTTCTATTTACCTGTATTCCACGATATATTCCAAATATTCTCTCAACCTATTAATTAGTGACTACTTCAAGAACAGAAAGGCAATTTTCCAATACAGTCAACATGAGGTACAGTACAAAAGCAAAAATTAAAGTATAAATTGTCAAAACATTTTAAATGCATTTTTGATGATAGCCTGAAATAAGGTCATTCACTCCATCTGCTCGTTTCATATGTGAAGTTTGCAACAACATACAGAGTGACTGGAATTAGATATTATGAAATAAGGTCAAAGTTATAATATCATATAACAAAAATTTGAATTCAATTTAATTTTCGTAACATGAGTTACACACATTAATTATATGGTCAGGACATATCCATTTTTTGCATTTATTACACCATCGTCTGCTTTCTCGATCTCTATTTCTAGATGGACAGATGTGACATCAACCCATACTGCCAGACGGTCTTGACTTGGGCCGTCTCGATGTGTGGTTTTTTTGAAGTTGCTTATTTGCTCTGTTTCTTAGATTAACTGTTAAACTGAATACTACTTCTATGTTGAATTTGGGGTTTGAATAGTTCCCAAGATAGATTTTCAAGAAATTTTCTTTGTTTGCATTTTTCATGAGAAGCAAATTTGTGAAATTTATAAATGCAATAGATGTTAATTGTCGCGATATTCAATAAATTAAAAAACATGACCATAGGCCATCCTTGTAATTCTGGCTTCGTTGTTTCTTTCACAATGTTGGTCTACAAGATCTACTCCTGTTTTTGTCATATTATAAAAAGTTATAATTACTGGTTTTTGTGTTTCTCCTGTGGTTTCATCTATCTTGTCATCAAAATGCATTGATGATATAAGGACAGCTTTATTTTTGTGGTCAATAAGACACCATTCTGCAATCAGATTCAAATCTGAATATTGACGAGTTTTTTGCTGGATTTCTGTTAGGTAAAAATTCTACTGGGACCTCCCACCTATTTTTTACACACAGTGGCTACATACGTGAGTATTTTAGCCTTAAGGGCTTTTACTAAAGAAAGACTAGTGAACCAGTTATCCCCAGTGATATTTCTGTTCGTTCCGTGTACAGGCATTATCAATCGCTCAACAATATCCTGAGCAGTAGTGCTTATACAGTAAGGCCCATCAGGCTCCAAACTTAAAGTGTAAGTGGTTTTGACATCGCAAACATTTTCAGCGTATATTTTGCTGGTTTTTTGGGAATGTACTGCTGAAATGAGCACTTGCCCCAGAAAGCTAGAAGCTGCTCATCTACCGTAAGGTATTCACTCAGTCTGAAGTATTTTCTAAAGTTAGATACAAACATTTTGAGTATTTCCCTAATAGCAGCCAATTTATCTATTTTTTTTCTCTCCTCTCTGTCATGAATGTTATCAAATCGTAGGGATCATAAGAGAAATTTGAATCTTTTTTCACTCATGCATAAGTAGCAAGAATCTAACCAACTCCCTTTGGAATTGTCCTACATCTTGTTTGCGTTTTTTGTGGAGCTTTGTATACTCCCTATGAGGTACAGTAATTTGATAAATGCTCTTATTTTTGTTGGATTTGTATCCCTAGCATCCTTTTCCCAGGGAAATGTTTTCCTTATGTTTGTAATATATGTATTAGTAAAAAGAATTGTGGATTGTTCAATGTTAATCTCAAAAAATAAATTATATCTAATTCTTTCTTATGGTTACGTGCCTCATTTTTGGTGCCAGGTAAATGTGTCACAATGTTCACTGACCAACCCGCTGACTGGGTGGATCTCCATCCTTACAGGGAGCACTTGGTCTCGCAACATCTCTGCAACCATTGCGAAAGTGCTAGGGAGGGTGCCCACCACCCACCGGGGCTCATCCTCGTATACCATCTTCTGGCAGCTCTCCCCAACCAGATTTTGTATCGAAATCATTTGGTGTCCTCTTTTGTACCTAGCGACAGGAGGAGGAAGTACAACATAGAATGGTTCTGACCCTTCTTCTTTAACTATCTGAGCCAGGAAACGACTGCATCCACAGGCCAAACAAGCCATCCAGGAACACTACCGGGCTGGTACCACCCTAACTAATGTACACATGTAAT